CCGCTTGCAGTCCTGAGCTTGTCACACTATCTTCAGAGCAGAAACGGCTGCTCCAGCCTTTTTCACATCACTTCATTCCGACACTGAATCACCTGCTTCCCTCTTTTACTTCTTAGAGCCTTTGTAATGAGCTAGGCCCACCCAAATAATCCAGGATAATCTTCCAATTTCAAATTGCTTAATCATATCTGAAAACTCCCTATTCCATGTAAGGTAACATGAACATACAGTCCCAGGATTAGGGTGAGAAATCTTTAGGGACCCATTATTTTGCCTACCACACTTATTCTTAAGTTTTCAGATTCAAGGTAAATTCTTCCCCAAAGCTCCTTATCATGGCTACATGCTGCTGCTATGCATTAGCATTCATTCTTAGTTGTGCTTATTATGCAAGAGTAAACAAGACAATCACTGACCTCACGCAGTTTATAATCTAGTAAATGATAAAGAAAATTAAACACGTATGGACATGAGGGCAGGAAACTGGCTCACAACTATATTCCCAGTGACCATCACAATTATGCCATCTAGTCAATATTTAAATACTTTGAGTGAATGAGTAAAGAAATAAGTAGAAAATATATTTAATGCATTTCACAAAGCATCTTCTAATCATAAAATTCATTATTTCTCTGTAAATATATTTTTAACCAGTATCTCGTCCAGCTTTAAAGTATTATTTTGTCCACTCTGGTTTCATTCTTTTTCTCAAAATACTGATGACTTTGTCTGTCTGCCTCATACAAAATATTTAATTAGGCAAAAATAATCATCTCGCATAATTTTTCTATACATTTGTATAATCTTTCTACACACTTGCAGTGAATATTCTTAAAATGAAATTAAGAAAAACATCCTTTCACAGTAACATGAAAAAAAAACTAGGTATACATTTAACAAAGGAAGTAAACACTTTTATAATTTGAAAAACTCCAAGTATATACAGAAATTAAGCCACATATAAATAACAGGGAAACCAATCCACGTTCATGATTGAAACACTTAACCTTGTTAAAATGACAATACTTCACAAACTTACCTACAGGTTTAACACGTTCCCCATTCCAACGTCAGCTGACTTTATTATAGAAGTGGACAAGCTGATTCTAAAATTCATGTCAAATTATACGGGACCCAGAATATCCAAAACAATCTTGAAAAATAAAACACAGTGTATGACTTCACACTTCCTCATTTCAAAGCTTACTACAAAGCAATGGTAATCAAAAAAGTGTGCTGTCATGGAAACACAGATAAAAATCAATGGAATAGAACTGAAAATCCAAAACACTAACAAACATATGGCCAAATAATTTTCTACAACATGCCAAGACCATCCAAAGAGAAAAGAAGATTCTTTTCAACAAATGATGTTGGGACAGATAAATAGCCCCTTGCAAAAAATCAAATTGGTCCCTTATCTTACACCTAGGGTAAAAATTAAGTCAAAATTGACCACAGACTTATATATAGAAGCTAAAGCTATAAAACTCTTAAAAGAAAACATAATGGCAAATCTCTTTTACCTTAGATTTGGCAAAGGATTCTTAGAAATGACACAAAAACATGGACAGTAACAACAAAAAATTGGATCAATATTAAAAACTAACTGCTTCAAAGATACAATCAAGAAAGTGAAAAGTAAACACAGAATAGGAAAAATATTTGCAAGTCATATATCTGATAAGGTATTTGTATTTAGAATATATAAAGAACTTTTATGAATCAATAATAAAAACACAAACAACCCAATGATAAAAACACAAACAACCCAATTGAAAGAAGAGCAAAGGATATGAGTAGGTATTTCTTCTATGAAGACATACAAATGGCCAGTAAGCACATGAAAAGATGTTTGACATCCTCAGTCATCATGGAAGTACAAACCCAGAACACAATGAGATACTACTTTCCACCCATTAGGATGGTTAGAGTCTTACAGGAAAATAACAATAAGTGTTGGTGAGAAAACAGGGAAACTGGAATATTGATTTGCTGCTGGTGGGAATGTACAATATTCCAGCCACTTTGAAAAATGCTCTAGTAGTTTCATTAATGATTAAAAGTGGAGTTTCCATATGACCCGGTAATTTTACTCCTATGTATATACCCAACAGAAATGTATACTTTTCTCCACACAAAAACTTGTACATGAATGTTTATAATAGTATTATTCATATTGCCAAAAGGTGGAAACAGTTCATATACCCATCAACTGCAGCATGCATCAACAACTTATGGCATGCCCATACAACAGAATATTCAGACATAAAAGCAATGAAGTACTGATACATTCAAGATGAATCTTGAGAACATGTGGTAAGTTCAAGTAGTTAAGTCAAAAACTACCACCTATTATATGATTGCATTCACATAAAATGATTAAAATAGAAAAATACACAGATAGTGAAAAATAGGTAATTGTTTAGGGATGGGTGTAGAAATTGAAGGGATAAAAGGCTAGTCACAAGGTATGGCATTTCTTTTTGAGGAAATGAAAATGTTTTCTAATTGACTGTATGTAGGTAGTTGCACATACCTATGAATATACTAAAAAAATTGAATTGCAAGCTTCAAATATGTGAATTGTATGGTATGTGAATTATATCTCAAAAAAATTTAAAAGTCAACTAATACATAATTCATTGAAAAAAATAAAAATATTTAACATTGTATTTCTTAAACACTAACTAAAGAAGAAAAAACCATGACATCACTATTAAAGGTAAATACATTCTAAAATGCTTAGGTGTTTCTAAACTTGCTCAATGCCTGTGACATCAGTCACATGTTAAAATCAAAAACAAATGGAGACCAATTTTGAAAATTCCCTGAGCAGATAAAACCAGTTTAGCTAATTTTGTAAGATTAACTTGACCTGGGTCACTTTCTGTTTGTGCATCTAGAAATCATAAGCAAAATTTAAAACTGTTTTCTAGAAGTGATATAACTACTAACCAATTTTGTATCATTTAAGATAATCCTAATATTATAACCAATCACTGTGAAAGAACAGTCATGCCTCCTTATAAGCTGCTTTATAATCATATATCTATGAGCCTCACTGCATGTTGTTTCGAGCACGCCTGGTTCACAAACCATCTTTTTGCACAATAGACCTTATTAATTGCTACTTCTTGGTGATTCATTGGTTTTACTCCTGTTATTTCTGAACTTTCGAAAGTTCAAATACAGTATTCCTCAGTGATAATCAAAGCTCCTAAAAGCGTTCATGCAGATACTCTGACATCAATTCCCTTTCCTCTTTCACCAAATGACGTGCACCTGTACCAGGCTGAGACAGGTGAGCAGATTCCAATTTGCAGCTTTTATCTTTGCTCCTTTAATACTTTCTTTTACTCCTTTTTGACTTAACATTATCACCTTGCTATAGAAATGTTATTCCAGTTTCTACACAAATATCATAAATAGCTGGAGAGAGGAAACATGATGCAAACTTTATTTCAAATGAACTGAATAAAGTTTTGCCCCAGTTAGAAGAAAGAAAAAAAACATGGAACTTACCTGTCCCAGGATGGTTTCTTTGAGAAGTAGACTCTGAAGCAGAAATCAGAGAGGAGGAAGTTTGTTAAGAAGGTCTCCTGTGGTCAGTGGCTGTGGATGAGGAAGAAGGGCGAATCAGTCAGAGGAAGAAGTCAAGCTTCAAGGCAATTTCAGTGGAACGACTCTGCCATCTCTGCAGGCAGTACTGAGAGGAGATGACCCAGCAGAGCTGCTCTAAGACGGGATGAGAAAGCAGGGTATTTCCACTCATGCGCTGAGCAATCACTGGGTGAGGACCAATCAGGGATGGGGTCATCACCTTTGTGATCATAAGGGAGGACAGCTGAGTGCTGGATGCAGGTAGTAGCTTCATCAGCTGGGCTAAAAACATATTTATTTCTGAAGAGGGATAAATGGATTGCACCTCAAGACCAAGATACTGCTAAAAGAAATGTTA